ATATATAGGCTACAACAAGGTTTAATCTGGCCGCAGAGGAACACAACTGGGTTGCCTGATATAAAGAGACGTAATCCCCAAAACAGAGCTTTACACTTGCTCAATACGGAAATATCTGTTAAGTGTGCTACTTATCTTTGTCAACCTGGCAACCCTGTGCACGCGCTCTCTCTCCACTGTGAATAAACATGCTTGCTTTCTGAAAATACTGGTAAGCTTGCAGTTTAGCGATCTCCACTTCAATATTCTATTCTCATAAAAGTGTAATTCATCAAGTGTTCATTTATGAGAGAGAGAGAGAGAGAGAGAGGGGCTGTGTATGTATGAATTACCACCGTTTTGCCGCATTTCTCTATTAACAGTGAAGCTGTGGCTTTAATTCTGTAAACATGAAACATATGCCATAACCTATATTGTACTGTGGTACACTTATGGAGGCCCTTCATAATGCAGAGGTCAACTGCCTGCTCTGCCAATAGTTAGAAATGGCTCTATAGTATGCGGTGTTTAATAAACAGCTGTTTTACTAAATTCTGCTGAGGTGAAATTTAGTGCACTCCCGTATCGTGATATGCATCGTATCGTGGCCTCTGTATCGTGATACGTACTGTATCGTGACTTTGCTGGTAATACACAGCCCTAGTCTTTGATGTTTCATTTCAGGAGACTTCACTCCCCCGTGTGTTTAAATTGTTCCGGGCGCTAGGACTGAGACATCTGGTGGTGGTTGATAATGAGAACAGGGTAAGTGTATCACTGTTTTATTGTGGTTCAGTTACTGCTTTTAACTTGCAGCTAATCTTTTAGCACAAAATATTAGCACTATACTAGTAGTATTATTAATCATTGTTGACAGATATTAAATATTTTTTTTTATTATTTATCTTTATTGATCAGTATTATATATTTCATTTTGCATGTTCATTTCCTCTAGTTTTACATGAATCTTTCTGTCATCTTACACTCTCTTAAAGTTAATCTTCAAAAATACTAATAATTTAATAAACTGTCAAATGTCTAATCTTTAGCAAATCTCAGAATGAATATTAATTTTTTTATAGTGCACATTTTAATGGCGGTATTACTAAATTTACTTGCAGCATTTAAATGATTATATTTATTTACATTTTTTTTTAATAACATTTTGGAATTGTGTACTAATTAAATTTAGACAGTCTTCAGGTATTAATATTTTTTAAAGGGGAGTCAAGACACATCTTTTTAAAGTTGCTTTTGAGTATATTGATATAAATATTTATTGATATTGAAAAATACTGTTTTTTTTATGTCTGTTATATTGCACTTTAGATTGACTATTTTTTTGTTTTTTTTAAGCTATTATTGAAGAAACTTGAATATTGACCATTTACCGGTTATCTGTAATAACAACGAAATAATTAACAGCTTATTGTATCAGTCAAAATTTGCCATATATCATTCAGAATATTGCTCGTTCCCAGTAAGGTAATCAGTTTCGAATTCCCTGTGCTTTGGATGTGAAGGTTGTGGGACTGGTAACCAGGAAGGATCTTGCCCGCTACCACGTGGGTAAAGATGGTCTGGAGGAGCTTCACCTGGCTCAGACATGATTGGTCATCATGTTCACCCTGGACCCTGCCTTCAGAGCACCAGCTTTGGACCTTAAAAACTCAGGGGCTGGTCAGAGTCTTTCTCATGTCAAAGATGCCAAACACAAACCTGCAACATGCACAATTTGTCTGACGTTCAGTATTTTAAGGGCTTGATTATTGGCTTGATTATTTGAAAAATGCATTTTTGCTCCTTTATCACACAGTTATGCATTTATTTTTTCTGTAGAAATACAGCGGATGAGCACATTATGTTAGTTTTGCACTATGTGACTGTTTATTTATTACAATTATATTTTAGAGTAGATGAGCTTTAAGTAGCATTTGTAGCATTAAGGAACCTATTGGTGATGTGCACTTAATACAGACTACTACATATTGTATTGTTACAGACATGCAAATATGGTTCATTACATTCTTGTTTACCTAGTGCTGTTTAGGATTTTTAAACGTTTCCGTCTTGATTTATAAATTTAATTGGTATTAAATCTGTTAGGGTAGATCAGGTCCTGAAATTAAATGCATAAATCCTAGTTTTCACATGCCTCTTGGCATTGGCAAGTTTTGGTACGAGTTTAAAACTAGCTAGTGGTTTTATGCAGTACATTTTCTGAGGGTAGTTTGTCTACACACAATGTGAATTTTCTGCCTCGAGCTGCATTTGTTTTCTGTGAAAATCTATACATTAAAATGAACATATAAATCCCAGTATTGAGCAGTGAAAGATAATTATGCTAAAATAATTGCCAAACGTTCTTTAACTGAACATCAGATGAAGTGTATAAACGTGACATCTTGTTTTGTTTGTGTGCTAAAAAGTTTGACTTGTAGGCTCACCGCTTCGTTTAAAGCCAACTTTTTTTGTTTTTATTGATCGATGACTTTCTCTCTGATTATCTCTAATTTTAATATAGTTTTTGATTTGGATTAAAAAAAGAAAAAAACTTTGTGAACTAATAAAGCTATGAATCAACAATTCATGAATCTTTAGTAACTCTCTCAGATAATCATAGTTGATTTGGATAAACATCTGTGTAGTGCAAGACGGGTCAATATTTTTAGTCCAACCATGTATTTCTTGAATGTGTATATCTATAAGTTAATTGTCAGCCTTTTTGAGTCTACCATTATAAAGATGGCTTTAAAGCTAATAAATGTGGATTAAAATACCACCATTTTGTTTCAGTAGATGAACTTATGAGCAGTCTGAGACTTTGGCTACATATAAATGTTTTCACTTATTGTAGATATCAGTGATTCTGGGAAACGTGCATTATGTGTGACTGACAATCTACTAAGTGCTTCAGGAAACTCAGCCCATGTTTAAATTAGCTAAAGCAACAACACTACATGACTAAGCATTGTGTTATTGTTTACTTGGCATATTCATCATCCCTGATTCTACAATGGTACATTCTTGTGAGCTATGTGAAAAAATGCTGTGAGGTATGAACGTGTAAAATGGAATTCTGTGATTAATGCTACAAGGATCTCATGTAAGTTTTCAAGTATGAATCCCATGATCCACCCTGTTTATCATAATCAGTGCTGTCATATGCAGCTAAACATGTTTTATCCACACACAGTAAGGCATATCTTGAACAATCAGCCTCCATGTAATGTATTTCAGAAGAGAGGACTTGCGTAATTATACAGTTTCACATATGGATTTCTAATAATTGAAAGAAAAACTTTTTACATAGTTTATTATGTAAATACATTTGAATATTGCTGAATCATGGGTGAGTGTGAGGTCATCTGGTTAGTGTTATAATATGGACTGGCAAATGCTTTTTAACTATGCTACAAGTGCTTTAACTGTAATCGTCCATATACATTTATTTTAATTCCATTGAAAAAGAAAATGAGCATAGAGCGTTAAATGTGTCCATCTGCAGCACAGGTGCCTGAGGGTAAAATCAGTGTGACCTAATCCATTTAGAGCAAGTCTTAGTCTCCTTTCCTTAATCCTCTCAAATTAATAGGTGCCAAAATACCTCTGTCTGGCATCAGCTGCTGTAGAGCATTCGTTACTGTGGCAGTGCTCTATTTTACATTTTACTCCATTTATTAAGTATCTTAGATTAGGATAGAAAAGTCATAAAAACAAGAAAAAGGTTTTTATACAGTGGTGTAATATTTTGTAGAAGAGCATAATCCATAATGCTGTCTGATATTCATCATTTAAATTTATTGACTATCGAATTTGTATGGTGTATTCTTCAGCTGTGCCTATTCATAAGCTTGGTTGCAGGTATGCTTAAGAAGTTTAGTGTGTCATTTGTTATCTATCTGCATTTTCTTTTTGAAACACATAAGTGGGCTAGTATTGGGTATTAAACACTCCCAGGCTGAAAATGGGCCCCACTCCGACCCTGCTGTTAGTAATTTTCTGGCGCAATCGGTTAAGGCTTGTCAAAGCGAACCTTCAACTATCCTAAATCGATTTGCGATTGCGCATTTAGCACAACTAATCTCACTTCTGTGTTTACTGAAACATTTGAAAACGCTGTTAATCATACCTATGTCTAAAAAAACAACAACATTTCTATGATCCTAAACTTTAGTTTTGACTTCCTTTAGTGAAAAATCCCGACAAGCTTATTCTTTGAATTGTAATGCATAACAAATGTAATTTACTGATTGTACATTACCCTGTTAATCTGCATGAAGTAATTTAGAAAAAATAGAAAAAAAGACTTAAAACAAACTTAGACAAAACTTAGAAGAAAGCAATCTGAGTGGCAGAACAGATATTGTGAACTGATAATCATTTAAAAGGCATTTTATTCAAGAAGGGTCATCTGAGGAAAGACTACACATTTTTGCAGCAATGAATTTCTATGTTGGTCATGGTACATATTAAACTTGTTCATGTTTCAAATACTTGAAGCAAAAGACCATGTCTACACCAAATCTTTATTTGAACATATTTAACAACACAGATTAATGTCTATTTAAATGAAGCCAAATTTGCTAACAGCAGAAGAGATTCTAAGGCATCAATACAACAGAAGAAGTGATTTTAAAGGGGTCATATGATGTCGCTAAAAAGAACATTATTTTGTGTATTTCGTGTAATGATGCGGTTTAAGGTTAAAAAAACACATTATTTTCCACATACTGTACATTATTGTTTCTCCTCTATGCCCCGCCTTTCTGAAACCCGGCGATTTTTACAAAGCTCATTGGTCTGAAAAGCGAGGTGTGCTCTGATTGGCCAGCTATCCAGTGCATTGTGATTGGCTGAATACCTCAAGCGTGTGACGGACTTCTCTTTTGGATATCGTCCTCCTTTGGAAGGCCAAACAAAGTAGTTTCGCTTTCACAACGAAACACAGCGCCTTCACGACATGGCGGCGGCAGCAACAACAATACTACAGCGAGAATAAAAGTTACGCCTTTCTTTGCGTGAACATTTGGGCGGCGTTATGCAAATCTTCCCACATCGTGACGTAGACATGTGGGGGCATGTTAGAACAAGCCATTTTAGGTAGGCGTGGTTGACTCTTAACTTTTATAAAGAATATCTCTTTGGACTTGAGACTTTAGTCTTTGCAACTTTACAGATCTTCTTTATGCTCCAAGAGCTTGTAACACTCCAAAGAGAAAGGAAAAATTTTAATCGCATCATATGACCCCTTTAAACAGCTAATAAGGTCTCTCCTCTCAGGGTACATCTGCTAAAAAAGTCAAAATATAATACAAATAAAATAGATATTGAAAATAAGTATTTTGGTTATGTGCTGTAGAAAATAACCCAAACAGATAAATCAAATCCCACATTGTTCCACATTCTACAACTTTATATCATCCTATATCTCCTGCATCTCAATAATCACTACATTAGGCCTATATGTGTTGTTCATTCATAGGCTGGTGGGTTGGCATCTATACAACTCAACTGTTTGCAGCAGAGTATCAAGGCAATGGCGCAAGTGTCAGTTTGCAGCATCCCTCATTTGGGGATCCAGAGGTGGAGCTAGTCTAATCCACTAAACAAGTCCAGGTGGCACATCTTCCTGTCGTCCGTTTCAAATAATACCATACTGGGCGAGTTCGTGCAACTCCAGTTGGCTAAAGGCTTCCCACGGACACACCACGGTGATGTCTGTGCATGAAAGTTGTTGGCAGATGAAGAACAGCAATGAGCCAGACAATGAGAAAAATCAGTTTGCAAGAGTAATAGGTTTAGCATATAACACAACACAGTATTTGATCACTACATAAGCAATGTTCCAAGGGTTGTTCTCACCAGTGCCAAGACCGTCCATTCCTGGGATCTCATCTCCAAATCTAATTAAAGAAGAGAAGAAATTGATAAAAAAATTAAGTTTATTTCCTAACATACTCTTAAAAATAAAGATTCCAAAAGAGGGGTTCACAATAGAAGAACCATTTTTGGTTCCCCAAAGAACCTTTCAGTGAACAGTTCTTAAAAGAACCATTTTTCTCTTAATGTGAAAAACATTTAAAAAAATCGAAAGAACCTTTTTCCACTATAAAGAACCTTTTGTGGAATGGAAAGTTTTCATCGATGTTAAAGGTTCTTCATGGAACCAAAGAAGCCTTTACTTTTACCTTTGTTTTTAAAAGTGTATAGAGCAGGGGTGTCAAACTCAATTTCTGGAGGGCCGGAACCCTGCAGAGTTTAGAATCAACCCTAATTAAACATACCTGATCCAACTAATCAAGTCCTTCAGGCTTATCTGAAAACTACATGGTATTTGTGTTGGAATAAATCTCTACAGGGTTCCGGCCCTCCAGGAATTGAGTTTGACACCCCTGGTATAGAGAGATCAATCAGATTTAAATGTCGTCTACTCACCCTTTGACTCCCTTCTTGGGAGGTTTGCTTTTGAATTGTCTTGGCATTCTCTGTTTGAATTTAGGTGGTCCTCTTCTGGGTGTTGTTGGTCCTACCACTCTTATCGGGCCTATGGATGAGTCGCTGAGACTGTCGCAGCTATTTCCTGAGCTCATCCCGTACAACGTCTCTGTCAGATTTTTTCCAAAAGTCAGGTTCTTGTGGGCTCTAGTGTTTGTAAATGACTTCTTGTTCAACGTCAATATCTCTCCTTGCAGTTGAGGAAAGCCGGCTTAAATACAGTGAGGCTGGCCTATGTTTGCGTCAATGGGTCAACAACAAAGCCTGACAGATTGGCACATTGACATAGCAGCAATGTGTTGCAGGTTAACTCAGGTAAAAGCGCAAGATCACTCACTGGATTCTGAAAACACAAACAGGCCTTCATTGAGAAATCTTTACTTCAGTACACCTGGAGAGTCTGTCATGGATTAGATAGAACGTATGTTTCATTCATGGCTTCTGCAGAGGAAATGAATGAAGACAAAATCTTATGTGGTCAACAACTTTGATAATGACATTAAACCTACCCTTGGATGGCGGTATAAGCTCCTATGCAAGGAGCTTATACATGCAAATCTATCTATCTATCTATCTAAACAAACAAATATAAAAATAAAAACGTATTAATTTTGAAATGGTGATTGAATCCCTGCAGTATTTAACACATAACATGTCAACATCGAAGTGAAAAAGACAACAGTATTATCTGCACTTCATATGGACCAGGGTTGCTGACGTTCAGCATGGCATGAGCTACGTTACACATTAATGTACTTAAAGTTAAGTCCCTGACATAAAGATTGTGACTGATGTTGGACGTTTGAGCACCATTAAGAAGATCATGTCACACAGAGACAGATGTCAAATGTAGAACTGGGATATGAGTGACATGTTCAACACCTGCTTTTTTTAAAAGAAGAGGAATTCAGGCCAACAGGTAAAATATCATCAAGCAGCCTTTACGGATTATATATGAAGTGGTACAACAATAAAAAGGACTGACTTTTAAAGCTCAAAAAAACCTTTGAAAGCTCAAAGTCCTCCATCTCCCGTTCACAGCGTGCTCTGGGTCTCTTTGAACGTTAACTGCACTCTGAATTACCCACCATTCCCCGCAGGTGTGGATTGACTATAATCTCATGGAGCTCCTAAAGTGTAGTTCAGACATCTGCAGAGAGTCTTCTGTGGCATAAAAGTGAGAATGCGTAATCAGTGCCTGATTGTATTTCTGTGTTAGATAGTTAGCGTTGACTTAAGAGAGTAACAATTATTATTATTATTATTAGTAGCAGTCAGCAGATATAAATACACAAACAACGTTATAAAAAAAAGATAAAGTGATACAAGCAGATATTAAAGGGGTCCTATTATGCTCTTTTACAATGTCTTTAATTTGTTTTGGGGGTGTACTAGAACATGCTCTCATGCTTGGTGGTTCGAAAAACGCATTATTTTTTTACATAATTTACATTATTACAATACCTTTCTCCCCATCCTGGCACAAATGGCTCGATTAGTTTCGGGTTTGATGAAGGCCCGCCTTCCGAAAATGAAATGTGGTGTGATTGGTTAGCTGTCCCAGTGCGTTGTAATTGGCGAACAGCTTAGACGGTGTTTCAGTACTGCCACGCCCCTTGCTCCGTCTTTCAAC